AACCAAATTATATATAGACTTACTCCATACACCGAAACGTCTGTAGATAAGAAAGTTGTCAAAACTTTCTGTAGACCCCTTCGACCTATGTTTAACACTATTATGTCCGTCCCGTGTAGGGTACACATGAGGCGAGACTGCACATGCCCTCTGCAGGGACATGAACCCCCGGTACAGGACCGCTTCCGCGCATACATAGCACCATCAGAAATGAATTTCCTTTGCATACTATTAAGCATACACTACATAGTCTGTATATATACGTAGTATCTTAAGGATCGATATTGTACGTATATAGTTGGTCAGTTGGTCAGTTTTCATTCAGTGTGCAGTGTTCGGTAAAAATTACACAGTTAAGTATCAGCCGCATCTGAAATAGGGATAACACTTTACGGGTAAAGTAAAAGGTAAAGGTAAAATTTTCGTTCTGTCATTAAGCACCACACAATTGAGACATATGTGGTAGTGGAGTTACAGCTCCAAAATTCTTGACCGCGGCAATAGATGAAAGTGATGGGCTGCCATCATAATTCTGCCGCTTACCCCCGGTGGAAGGGGCCTCCGAAACCCATTGGGTATGACGCGACATGGAACCCAGAGCCCGTCTGGTCGCTGTGGACTCCGACTTTTGCTGTTTGCTGTAGTGACAAGGAGCCACAGGATGGCGCTAGTGCACCTCTGTCCTGCAGCTCGCTCGTCATAGCGTGGTGGATGTGCATTGCTTCGTGAATCGGGCATAGACTTCATGGACGCAACCGAAACTACAACCCCGAAGTTCTAGGCCAGAGGTTCTGAACCTTTCATTGCTTTCCTCACGCTTGGAACTTTCGTTTAGCGCGGCAGTAGGATTAGAATAGACACTTACCACTTATAACAGAAGTGCAGAATTTTTAAATAATTCTCATTATTTTATAGACATTTAGGATTGTACACAGTAAATAGAGAGATGGCGAAATTTATTACAAATATAAATTAAAAAATGGTAAAAAGGTAAAGCTATCCCTCTAACATACCGTCAAGTCTCCCACATTTTCTAGACTTTCGGCTCACGGATGGCTGTGAAGTTGTCAGCATTACGCGCTGGCCGCCCTTAAGCCCAAGAAAAATTTCTGTTATAGGGCGAGTCGACTCCGGGCCACATTACGACTGGAGGGGATTAGGTCAATTGAAAAATTGAATGACCTCATCGAGATTCGAATCCAAGACACTCTGGCTTAAAGCATAGTACCTCAACCAACTACGCTACCGCATGCCCCAGAATTAATTTCAAGAGTTTAAGTAAA